TGAATATATTACTAGTAAGAAGTAAGAATTTTTACCTTCCTTCCCTGTTTACGCTTTGAAATCGCCTGAGCTGAAAGGGCTGATATTGATGATTACACACCCTTATTACAGCCTAATTAAGATATATTTGTTGATGTTGATGATGTCCTGTCCTATTGCTATACTCTTTCCAAATACATGCAACCTTCCTAGCATTCGTTGCCGTCTGATATATATATATATATATCTCTCTCTCTCTCTACCCCAGCTGAATGCACGAACAATCCAGTCAATCTGCAAGTTTCCCCTGCGTATCTGCTATACAATTTGATAGCCATCCACTTCATTTTAGTCGAACTCAACCGTCCATAGGTCATGAAATCCATCGTGCCATCCATGACTGGACTGTAACTCATAGCAGGCATTCTGTTGGTCTCCATGCTTTGGTAGAAAGGTGTCTCGAAGGGGAAACGGCATGGCCCTCTGCGGGAATTCTTTGCTACAATACTCGAGTATATCTCGACAAATATGCAATGAATTCAATATAATTCATATATCCAAGACAACTGGCATCGACGCCGGTGATTCATTCTATACTCATCTCATAAAGAATTATTCAAGGTTCAAGCAAGCTTTACTTCTAAGATTTCTGTTGTCAGTGTCTGGAGTTCCTGCATCAAAATCATACCATTTTGCGAAAATAACATGGGTAATCATACTGGCATCCCATCATCAAATTTACCTTTCCGAGGTAAACTATGAACTTGAACTATGCCGTTACTGATTTCGAGCATCTTCAAGCGCAGATCACAGCTAAAGTAAAACATTGTCTTGTTGACTTCCTCTCTAGCCACTCTCTTTTCCCAAACAATTGGAACGTCGCAAGTCAGGAAGCTATCCAAACAGCTGTTAGAAAAAAACATAAAATGGGAGAGGATGAAAGTTTGGGACGGAAGAATAGGAATCGCCTTGGAGGGAGGAGGGAGTTATGGAAGTTCAAATGATGTTGAAGGAGATCGTCCTTCGCGCCTTTGACTTTCCAATTGCTCTATTCGATTTCCTTTCAGCGCAAATAACTCCATTCCATCTACATTGTTGTCGTCTCGAAAAACTCATATAAACCACAGGTTGACACTTGAGGAAAACGAATATCGGAACCAATCAGTTCAAAGCTCAAAGCTCAAAGCTCAAAGCTCGGTGAGAAAAGCCTACAGTACACACACAGTACAGCCACTTTCTAATACCACCTCTACTCTTTGGATCTTCAATTCATACTAGCTGCTGATGTTCTGTTGGATCGCTGTTACAAAAGGTCCTGCTATTACCTCGAACCTGTTGCAAAAGTATCTTCATGGTCGGTTATATTTCATTTCACATGGCTTTCAAGACTGGCTGGGGAAAACATCAACGCTTCCCTTTCAGATTGAGAATGCAAGTGCTGGCTTATGCCCTACCAAGAATATCTTACCTGGTTCATTAGAAATAGATGTTTCAATATCTCAATGATTCGTCTCAAGTGTGAAGACCTATTGTCAACAACTATCAACGTTGGAATATGTTTTTGGTCGCAACCCGAAATCAAAATCTTCATGCTATATTTCGGAATCAGATATATCAAACGCACAAGGTCTTCCAAGAAAGGCATTGTTGGCTGTTTTAAAATCTCGTGTAGTCAATACTTACATACATTCTAAACAAACAGGTGCGCATATCAAAGCACCTGGATCAAATTACTCCAGATAACCCTTTCCGTCATTTATCTCACCTTGAAGCTGCAAGAAGGTCTCTTTATCGTGCCCTGGTATTACTCGACCTTTGGTTGTAGATTCCAAACGCTTCAATCTTTGGGTACTTTGGAACCAGGCTGGATGATCACTATGGCATCATGTTAGTTTCATCACAATCAATTATGTCGAACAAGTCATACCGTGCGAGCCATCCCTGAGGTACTCCATCTCGCCACTATTACACTGTCAGCATCCTATCAATCTCATCAGAATGGGTTCACGAACATTTTCAATGACGTGGCAGTGATCACTGATAAAGAAGAATGTTCCGGACTCGGGAAGGTTTATCTGCATGCCCACGAGACCATCTGTGTGACCTGGAAGATGATGAAGAGTAATCCCCTGGCAAAAGTCCATGGTTCTTTCATCGAATGTCTTCCAGTTCAAGGATAACTTTCTTGATATCAGCATGGAACGATAACTCCATCAATGAATGCTGGATCAAACTTACATCCATATAACCCGGCTGATAAACACCAACATCTGCACCAGTTGCAACAGACCAAAATGCCGAACGT